ACGGCCATACGGCCCCTCCCGTTTCCCATTCTAGACTCCGCCCACCAGCCGGGGCCCCTCCCAGGCCGCACGCTCCGTAGAGACTCCTCAATTTTTTACTCTAAGAGGAATTTGGGGGGCATGCAAATATTCGTAAGTGGAAATTATCGCAAACGATTTTGTGCAGTGAGACATTTATATGTGTTTTAAAAGCATTAAGCAACATGACAGAGCGTTTATAAAAACATACATATGTAGAAAAAGTACAAAAAGATGCTTAGGAATGATACACACTAACTTCAGGATAGGTGTTAGGAGGAGGGAAAACGATGGATGGGATTAGGCGCAGAGCTTTGCCTGTATCTGTGACATATGATTTCGTTAAAAGAAGAGAGGGGAGGGGAAGAGACCAAATCTTATATTTAAATGAATCGTGATATTATTTTTGTACACAGAACTGCAATTTTATACCTATTTTAGCATAAAATTAACTTTATTAGACTAATACGAGAATTAATGACCCAGTTTTCCATAGTGCGCACTCAAAATTTAAGTACCCACAGGGAATTTAAATTTCCCTGTAATTCTTAAGAATTTTCTATTTTTATTTTTATTTTTATTTATTTACTTTTCTCTTTCAAGAGAAAGATTTCTTTTTTTTTTTTAAAGATTTTATTTATTTATTTGAGAGAGAGAGAATGAGAGACAGAGAGCATGAGAGGGAGGAGGGTCAGAGGGAGAAGCAGACTCCCCGCCGAGCAGGGAGCCTGATGCGGGACTCAATCCCGAGACTCCAGGATCATGACCTGAGCCGAAGGCAGTCGCTTAACCAACTGAGCCACCCAGGCGCCCAAGAATTTTTTAAAACTAGGAACTAATTATACCTCAATAAAGTCGTTTGGGGAAAAAAAAAAGGGGACAGTATGTAAACTCAAGATTTTTGAAAAAGCAAATAGCAACTACTGGGAATTTGCTGTAAGAGCAGTATGAAGCTTTTTGTGTGTGATAACACAAAGATCCAAGGACCAATGCGATGAAGTGGAAGATTTGAAAGAAGATGGCACCATGTGAACATTTTAACATTTGTTAAGCTGAAATAGTGGGAACTTCTGCATCTATTTTATTATTTTCTGTAACTCTGGAATATTTCATAATTTACATTTTTAAATTTTAAGCAAGCAAATAGGCCAGGATAGGTGAAATAAAAATAGCAAATGTTGAAAATTATTAAAGTTGGGTAATGGGTATATTGGGGCTCATTATACTGCTTTTTTTTTTTTAAGATTTTATTTATTTATTTATTTGACAGAGAGAGACACAGCGAGAGAGGGAACACAAGCAGGGGGAATGGGAGACAGAGAAGCAGGCTTTCTGCTGAGCAGGGAGCCCGATGCAGGGCTCGATCCCAGGACCCTGGGATCATGACCTGAGCCGAAGGCAGACTCTTAACGACTGAGCCACCCAGGCGCCCCTCATTATACTGCTCTTTTCTATTTTTTGTAAGTTTGACATTTCTGTTTAAGTGTGGAATTTCCCATAATAAAAAATTTTATTAAAAACTAAAAATTAGGGGTGCCTGGGTGGCTCGATTAAGCGTCTGTCTCTGGCTCAGGTCATGATCCCGGTGTCCTGGCATAGAGCCTCACACTGGGCTCCCTGCTCAGCGGGGAGTCTGCTTCCCCCTCTCCCTCTGTCTCTCCCCCTGCTTGTGCACACATGCACGCACGCACACACACACACACACACTCCCTCTCTCAAATAAATAAATAAAATCTTTAAAAAAACTAAAAATTATGGGGCACCCAGCTGGCTCAGTTGGAAGAGCATGTGACTCAAACTCACGATCTCAGGGTCATGGGTTTGAACCCCAAAATGGGTGTAGAGATTTCTAAAAAAACATGAACTTTTTGGGGTGCCTGGGTGGCTCAGTCGTTAAGTGTCTGACTTCGGCTCAGGTCATGATCCCAGGGTCCTGGGATCGAGTCCCACATCGGGCTCCCTGCTCGACGGGAAGCCTGCTTCTCCCTCTCCCACTCTCCCTGCTTGTGTTCCCTCTCTCGCTGTTTCTCTCTCTGTTAAAAAATAAAATCTTAAAAAAAAAAATGAACTTTAAAAAAAACCCTAAAAATTAAGATTTTATACATTTTTGTGTGTAATTTGCACATGCACAGAAAGCTTCTGGAAGGTCAAAACAAACTGGCAATAGAGCTAACTCTTCCTTGCTGCCTCAAACAGATACCGTTTTTTCAGTTTTCATTTAGAGTTCTCAGGTTCTCAGAGTCCTGGACCCCAAGCATATTATTTAAAGTTTGTGGACGGGGAGGAAGGTGGCTGGGAGAACAACAGTGAGACAGCTGCTGCCCTGGTCCAGTAGGAACAGAACAGGGCTGGGTTCAGACAGTAGCAGTGGAGGTGGAGTGGAGGGACTGATTGGAGAACTATTTCAGAGGTAGAATTGATAGGACCTAACAAGCTCCCTCGAGAGGAAGAATCATCTTTCTTTGCTTAACTGGGGTTCCCTCACAATTGAGGGGTATATGATTCCAAAGAGATTTCCTGTGATATTCCTTACTCAAGGTTAGAGGGCAAAAATTCACATATTTGAACTCTAGCAGAGTCCATTTAATGAATGAGCTAACACATCCCCTTTCTCTCCATTCACAGAAACTATGAACTTGACTATCTCTTTATACTTCGCTCATCAGTTAAACCATCAATACATTTCTTTTTTGTTGTTGTTGACTAGGAAGATTTTTGTCACTGCAGCAGAGTCCTGACTAAAGATCACATATACACAAACTTTTGCATACGATTTCAGGGATTCATGTATTTCCTCTCTCCCCACAAGCTCTTGTACTCTTAGGCCTTCAGCTTGAGTGAGGTCTAGCAAAGTGAATACCCACTCACAATATTCCCTGCTTAACAACCCTTTGTGGACTCCCACAGTTTGCTAGATGACAGTCCTGGCCTCCCCAGCCTCGGTGATGGTCCCTCCAGGACCTGGTGCTCCCAGGGGCACTGCACTGACCATACCACATGGTACTTGTCTGTGTGGTGCACTGGATGCACATCCCTGGCAAACAGGTTCTTGCCTGTGGTTGTTGCTGAAGACTTCAACAGTCAGGAGGTTAACATTGTAGAGGGGAACCTCCTCTGCCTCTCCACCTCCCTGGGGATACCCCATGACTTCATGAAGAAGGAAGACAGACGACACAAAGGGACGGCTACTCGCTCCCTGAATCTAAACCACTATGGTCAGATCTCCAAGGAGCCTCACACATTGCCTCATCGAATTGCCTGAACAGGCCTTCCGGACCACTTGAGGACACAGTAATGCCTTTTGGACTGTGCAATATTCCTGCTATGGTAAGGTCACTGAGCAAAGGTTTTTAGAGAACATGCAGTTTTTTGCTATTCCCTAACAAATCCTGGGGGCTAAAAAAAATTTGAGATTATCAGGGGACAAGAACATTAAGCAAAATAGCTCATCCAGACAGACTTCTGACTTCTGATGTTCCTCTGTCAGGAGTTTCCTCACCAGGAGAGAGGGGCCTGAATCTGCCCTTGCTTTTAATCTGTGCTTGCTGAGTCCCTGGAAGGAGACAGGTGACTTGTTCAACGGGGGTGTCAGCAGTGGGTCAAGGCCTTTGGCACAGGTGGGTCTGTTGGGGCACTTTCTACCCTTTGCTGTCAGGGCCGGGGCGGGCGGGGGGGGGGGACTTTCCTCTGCCCTATGGTCCTCGCTGGCCTTATAATCAGACTGACATGAGACAGATTATGAGGAGAAAATAAAATTTGATAGGTGTGTGTAAAGGGAATCCACATAGACGAGATTCTAAAGACAATGAGACAACAGGATGCTTCTATGAACTAAGAAGAGGTAGGGGCCTGAGGATACAAAGGGAAAAAAACTCATTAGCAAGGTGAAAAGGGATGTTTGGGAAAAACAAGGTTGCTCTATTACGCAAATATGATAAGTTCCTCAGGGGGGAGGGTGTGTGGTCTCTGTTAATACTTTTCTTCCTGTTGCAGGCTCTCCTTTCCAATGTAAATTGTGGGAGTTATGGGGGAGGCAGAGAGCCTTTACTGCATCTGCTGTGTTTTTATTACTTTTAACTCAATCTTTATGTCAAAGTGGCACATATTGGGGCAAAGATCTGGCTGAGGCAGTGGGCATGGAGAAGGCATGATAGATGTGAGAGGCCGTAGGGATGAGGGAATGAAGGAGTTGAAATACTGAGGTCCCAAGCTTGGGAGATGAGTGAAAAGACAGGGCTTGCTTTAGGCTATGCCAAATTTAAATTCAAAGGCAAGTAGTCGGATCTAAAAAAAAAAAACAAAAACAAAATAAGCTCATAGATAACAGAGGGCAGATTGGTGGTAGGGTTACGGGAGAATGGGTGAAGGGGGTTGAAAGGTATATACTTCCGGTTATAATCCTGGAGATGTACAGCATGGTAGCATGTTGACTACAGTTAACAGTACTGTATTGCATATTTGAAAGTTTGCTAAGAGAGTAAATCTAAAGGTTCTCATCACAAGAAAAAAATGTGTAACTGTAAGGTGATCAATGTTAACCAGACTTGCTGAGGTGAATGCTTCTAAATGTATACAAATATCAAATCATTAGTTGTACACCTGAAACTAATGTTATATGTTAATTATACCTTAATTTAAAACAAGTTCTTTTTTTAATCCACAGTCAAAGTGATCAAAGCTGGCGGGCAAGGGAAGAAGGGAGTAGGGCTGGAGGTGAGGTCAGGTTTGCAGCCCTTGTCCAAAAGAAAACAGTTCTCAGGGGCAGATTTGTAGGTGCCCGCGGAGAAGGCGAACCGTCCGGGGCACAAGACTGCAAGCTCATTACGGTGCAGGTTCTTTGCCTCCCTCGGTGCCCCCTTCCCAGAGAGGGGAGAAAGCAGGGGTGGGGCCGGTGGCTGCAACGGTCTCTTCTCTTCGAAGACAGCGCCCCTTGCGGGGAGGGCCTGGTTTCAACACACTCGACCGCCAGTCCCGGGAAGACCCCGCAATTCCGGCGCTGACGGGCCGCGCCATTTCCCTCCCTTTTAGCGCCCGTCGCCCCAGGCTGCTCATCCGGAAAGGGGGCGCTCTGTTCCCCAAGGTCTGAGCAAGGAAGCTGGGCGTCCAGGACGGCCTTCTCGCCCGAAGGCAGCTAGGCTGCAGCGGACACGCTAGGCGCTCGGTGGGAGCCCGAGGATCCCCGCTCCAGGAGCCTAGGCCGGAAGCTGCGCCGCCCGCTTCCGCGTCAGCCGGAAGTGCCTGCCACTTGAGGCAGAGGACTTCCGGTGGGTCTGCAGGGCAGTCGGGAGTCAGCATGGCGGCCCCCTTGGCCGGGAAAAAGATCGTGTTTGTCACGGGGAACGCCAAGAAGCTGGAGGAGGTGCCGGGAGGGCGCGGGGGGCCGATCAGTAGGCGGCTGAGGGGGTAGCGGGTGGTAGGGCCCGCTGGGGATCGGGCGGAGAGGCGGCCTCCAGGCGGAGGGGGCACGGAGAGGCCGACCCGGGCGTGTGGAACGGGTTGGGCCGCGCTGAGCGAAATGGCCGTGTGTGCGGAGTGGAGCGGGCCGGTGGTTGGCTTTAATAGAATTAAGGCGTTGACAGATCCAGGCTTGCGAGCTCGGGAGCTGCGGGAGCCAAAGGAGTGCCGGGTCCTTAGTACCTGTCCCAAAGGTCATCTATTAGGCTAGACCCCAAACGGGGACTCTTGACACCCCTCTGGAGCTGATCCAGACCCCGCTGCCGACCTGGGGGTGGCAGGGGCGAGACAGAGCGTGGGACAGGCAACCAAACTGAGCCGTCCACGCCCCACCACGGTCCAGAAATGTGGTCCTCAGCCTCTTTTCCTCTTCTGTGAAATGGGGATGATTTGGAAGGTCGGTTTCACAGTGCAGTAGGGAGGAGGAGTGAAGAAAGCATTAGATCCCCAGAGTTCCTGACTCTGGGAATCTTGTGGCTAGCTGTGAGGGTTCTGCGGGTGGATGGATAGCCTTTGGCTGCAAATAATAGACACACACAGGGAACTCATGTCAACTACTAGGTGACTCTTCTGGGAATACAATGTTAAGATGTCCCACAAGATTTGAGGAGTCTCCCGAGGGCCTATCTAGTCCTCGTAGTTCTCTCTGGATGCTCATTCCTTTCCTAGTAAGCGTTTTTCTGCTTACTTCGCTCCTGGTGGAGGGAGAAGTGAGGCTTCTGCCATACATTAGCTCTCATTAGCCTTGCTTGGGTCAAGGGTTTGCCCCTGCTCAGTCAGCCATGGCCAAGGAGGTGAGTCATGGTGCAGAATCAGGGTGACATCCACTAGATATGTTGAGGCAGACGAGTGGGACCCAGTCATTAGGGGACCGACCTTTCATTTGTCCACAGCATAGGGAATGATGGCACTTCTGTGGCAGTACAGGGTGTCCTACTCAAGAGCCAGAGCCCCGTGCTGATAAAAAGTTTGGGATCCTGAGGCCAGGCCGGTCAAACAGACAAGTAGCGCCACCGTGAAAAAGAGCCCATGCAGGATGGTGGGTGCCAGCTCCCAAGCCCATCTCTGTGTCTGGTTGAGAATGTGGCCTCCTATGTTTTAAAAAGTGGCTAGAGTGGCCAGAGGAGGCTCACCGAAGAAGATGGGTTAGATGAAGTTGGCTTAGAACAGGGTGTCTTGACTCTTCATCCCATGGCACTCCATTGACAGGCTGATGAAGTCTGTGGACCGTTTTTCAGGGAAGTATTTTTAAATGTACAAAGTAAAATACATAGGGTTACAAAAGAAAGTAATTCTATTAAAGTACAATTCTCAATATAAATATTTGTGATCTAGTTAACATACACTTTTTTAATGCATTAAAGGATTCAATGTAGCCGTGTGTAGTTACCATAATTTTCAAATAGGGTTGTAAATATTTTGAGATATTTGCTACAGCTGTAATGGGATACGACAACATCTGTGATTTTAATAGGTTTAAAGGTCACAGGAACTGCTGATGCTATTTTGGTTTTCTATATTTACTCACAATTGAAAGAGATGCTAAATTTCAGCTAAGGGTTAGTGAAAATAAAGGCATTTTTTTCCCCATCCGGGTTCGCAGGCCTCTTGAATTCTGGGTAACCCCTGATGGAGAATTGCCAGAATAGGAGGTTACATAGAGTTTTAGGGAGCAGGAGAAGGGAAGAGGGTGTCCTGGGTGGGGGGTTAACGTCAACAGAGAGACCTGAAGTAGGAGGGTAGGAGACTGAGGAGATGGGGGAGCTGATCTGCTGGAGTGGGACCCTGAAGTCTGGAGTGAGGCTCCTGGGCCTGACTTACTCAGCTTTAGGGGGGCTGTCAGGAGAGTTACCTGAAGAGAAAGGTGGGTGACAGCTTCTGTAGTAACAGGGAATTGTTAACAAATGGTAATAAATATTTTTTCATTTTGGAACAGGTCATTCAGATTCTGGGAGATAAGTTTCCATGCACTTTGGTGGCACAGAAAATTGACCGTATGTCTCTGTTTTGTTTTATTTCTGAAAGATGGTTTGATTTCTCTGTCTCCCTGTGACCTGACTCTCTTTGTATATCTGTTTCTCTAACAAGTGCCGGAGTACCAGGGAGAGCCTGATGAGATTTCCATACAGAAGTGTCGGGAGGCAGCTCGCCAGGTGCTTGCTCCTCGTGCGTCCCAAACTTGCTCCTCTTGTCCTGGGGCTCCTGGGGGCTGTACCTGCTGGGCTCAGGCAGAGAATAATAGGGTGGGCACAATTGGTCATAACTTCAAGGACCTGCCCAGGCCTAGCTAGATTGGGGTCAGTTAATGTTGGCAGAGGAATACTACCTTTCTTTCTCAGCCTTTACTGCATAGTATCCCCAGACCAACACACAGACACGCGCACGTAAGCGCACACACGTACACATATGCACACACTTGTCTCCGATTATCAGATACATACATTCCAGTGCCTGCATTCTCCCACACACATCTGCCCCCGCACTCACACATCTCTGTGGAATTGGGAAAGAACACTTCCCCGAAGCGTCAGGCTGTCCGAGTGTGAATCCCACCTCTCTGGTTGCTGTGCCTGGAGTAAGCTTTACAACCTTCCAAGTTTTTGGTGTTCCTGTCTCTCGAAGGAAGAAAAGAGATTAGCCAGGGGCAGTTTCCTATAGCTGTTAACTGCAGCTGCTGTAGATCCCAACTAGCTTGGGCCTGGCCCCAGCCTGGCTGGCCTGGGAATTCAGGTTAGGGACAGGGCCTACTCCGGTCACAGGTCTCGGGGCTTCGCCTCCTTGTGTTGCAGGTACGGGGGCCTGTACTGGTGGAGGACACCTGTCTGTGCTTCAATGCCCTCGGGGGCCTCCCTGGCCCCTACATGTGAGTCCCCCCCCGCCCCCCGCAGGGCCCTGGCCCCCAAATCACCTGAACTTCGAAATGATTGGTTACCTGATATTGTGGGTCGTTCACTGTCTTGGTGTCAATACCAATATTTCACATTGTCCTGAGGAAGGATTAGGGGTCGGGGAGAGGCATGCCTTTCTTTTGTAAAGTGTGAGACTGTGATTGTGTAAGTGGAGATAGGCCGGTGGAACCCACCTGCTGGAGAGGTACATTTGTGGCAGATCAGTTTCAGGAAAAAGGAAATAAGGAAGTTGAGATCTGAAAATGGATTTCCTTGAAACTATCCAGTGCCCTGGACACCCTCAGATGGCCTTTGTGTATCTCTTGGGGTACACATATCTCACTTTGAATGCTCCTGGCTGGGGTGGGAGGGCATAGGCACGAGGTGCTTTTGCTGGGTTTTGGACACGTTTATCTTGAACTTTTGGATTGCCTGTATGTTCGCCAAGGCAGTAGCACCCATATGTGTTGCTCCGTATCCTCACCAGCACTGAGTACTAGGACTTTAATGTTTTGCCATGTGGGGAATGTGAAATGTTACCACATTTGGATTGAATTTGCATTTTCCTTTTTTTTTTTTAAGATTTTATTTATTTGAGAGAGAGGGAACACAAGCGGTAGGATGGGGGTTGGGCAGAGGGAGAGGGAGAAGCAGACTTTCTGCTGAGCAGGGAGCCTGATGTGGGGCTTGATCCCAGAACCCTGAGATCATGACCTGAGCTGAAGGCAGCCACTAAACCTACTGAGCCACCCAGGCACCCCTGAATTTACATTTTTCTAATTACCAATGAGGTTGAGGCCTTCATAGGTTTTATTAATTCTTCTGTGCATTGCCTGTTTACTTCCGTCCGTTTTCCTATTGGATTATTCCTCTTCATTTTGAATTGTTATCATGCCCCCTGGCTGTCCTGGGGCTCTAATCCTGGGGGTGGGGTGAGGGGGTGCAGCCCAGAGAAGATGGTAGGAAGCTCCATCTGTACCTGGTGTCTGACTCACCTTTATTTCTCTTGCAGAAAGTGGTTTCTGGACAAGTTAAAGCCTGAAGGTATTATTAATCTCTTTTCCCTAGCTGTTGGGAATGGAGAATCCGGAGGTGGTCTGGGGGAGGGGTCCCAACTAGTACAGTAGTAGAATAGAATAACGAGCTCCATGTCCCCATCACCCAATTTCCAGGGTATTAAGCACAAAACCTATCCGATGACATGTATAAGCTCCCCAAATTGGGTGGCTTCCCAGGGCCTCAGGTGTGGGGAGTAAGGCTGGGAGCTGAGCTGCACAGACACCACTACGCTCCCCCTTCCCCCCCCACCGCCCCCGCAGGTCTCTACCAGCTCCTGGCTGGGTTCGAGGACAAGTCTGCCTACGCGCTCTGCACGTTCGCACTCAGCACCGGGGACCCCAGCGAGCCAGTGCGCCTGTTCAGGGGCCGGACCTTGGTGCGTACCCGCGCTGCCTCCCCCGCGGGCCGCCAGAGGGCGCTGCGGCTCCAGCCATTGGCCCAGGGTCTAAGGCAGGCGGGTGGTGGGAAGGGCTCGTGGTCAGTTAGTTCCCAGAGCTTTGCCCAGACATGCCCCTGAGCATCACAACTAGGAGTGCTGTCAATCCTGAAATCTATCTGACCTCTGAGGCTGGTGTTCCAGAGATACACGGTGACTCATGGCTGTTGAGGCCTGGTCCACCTAGAGCTCTGCACTGTGTCCCCTCCTAAGAAGCAGATGTGGAAGCTGAAGGTGACCGCTCCCGGAGCTGCACGGACAGCCCAAATTTCTTCCAGCTCCCATCCCTGTCCAAGTGTTGAGGTGACGACTTCCCTAGAGCATCTCACATCCTTTCCAACTTCTCATGTTCCTGTAGAATTGAACTTTCCCCAGCTCATTCCTTCCCCAGCTAGCCTTCAGCACAGCCCCGCCTGCCTATCAGACGCTTGGGTTCAGCTGCTTCTTGCAGGGTCCACACCACCCTTGGGGCTGGCCTGCTCCCCCGCAGGGCAGCCGTTTCCTCCTCGTGTCCAGGTCGATGCCTTCTGGCCCATCACTCCTTCTGCTCGTAATAAAATCCAGAGTCCTGAGTAGCCCACAGAGCCCCGCCCCAGAGTCTCCACTGGGGGCTGTCCATAGACGTTTCATGATGCCCTGCCTGGTTAAATTTTTTTTTTTAATAGTGGTAAAAAACATAAAACTACCATCTTCACCACTATTACGAGTTCGGTACAATGGTATTGACTATATGTGCACTGCTCAGCCACAGACCTCGAACTTTCTCGTCCGGCAAAATTGAAACTATACCGGGCGCCTGGGTGGCTCAGATGGTTAAGCGTCTGCCTTCGGCTCAGGTCATGATCTCAGGGTCCTGGGATCGAGTCCCGCATTGGGCTCCCTGCTCCTTGGGAGCCTGCTTCTCCCTCTGCCTTTCTCTCTCGCTCTGTCTCTCATGAATAAAAAAAAAAAAAAATTGAAACTATACCTATTGAATAAAAGCTCCCCCTTGCCCCTCCCCACCCACCCCTGGCAACTGCTATTCCGCTTTTGTTTCTAAGAGTTTGGCAACTTCAGACCCCTCGTCTAGGTGGAATCCTGCACACGGTGTTTGTCTTTTTGTGGCCGGCTTATTTCTTGGCATAATGTCCTCCCAGGATCATTTGTGTGATAGCGTGCACAGAATTGTGTGGTAGGTGACAGAACCCCTCCTTTTTACTGCGGCTGAATAATAGCCATTGTATGTATCTGTGCATTTGTTTTGCCCGTTTATCTGCCCATGGGCACCTAGATTGCGTCCCCGTCGGGCTGAGTAACGCTGCTGCTGCAAGCACAGGCGTACCAGTGCGATCCGAGCTTGAGATCCCGTGCTCGGTGCCTTTGGATGTTCACGCAGAACCAGGATGGCCGCGTCCTAATTGCTGGGTTACTTTTTTTTTTTTTTAAAGATTTATTTATTTATTTGAGAGAGTGAGAATGAGAGAGACAGAGTACATGAGAAGGGGGAGGGTTAGAGGGAGAAGCAGGCTCCCCGCCGAGCAGGGAGCCCGATGCGGGTCTCGATCCCGGGGCCCCAGGATCATGACCCGAGCCGAAGGCAGACGCTTAACCAACTGAGCCACCCAGGCGCCCCGCTGGGTTACATTTTTAAAAATTAATTCTAGATGTCTGCTACTTTCACAGAAATGTTCTCTAAAACATCAGAAGTGTGAACAACCGTAGTCCCTGCCGATGGGGCCTGGTCACTGGGGTGACCCACTGTTGGGGTCCCCACTATTCCCGATTGTCTCCCCAGCTTCAAGCACTTTGTGGCTTGCTAGCCCCTACGTTACCTGAGGTGGCTTTGTTTCTCTTCGTTTTGTCCTCACTCACGCTTTCCAGACCCCCATCATCTTGTCCTCGCAACAACGCCTATGCCGAGCCCGTCCCCATCTTGGGTCCCAGCACCAGCTGTGTCCTCCACCTGGAACGTTCTTGCCGATCACTTTATGTGGCCAAAGTGTCTCCTCACTGAGCTCCCAATCTAGGTCACTCCATCCTGTTATTCTTGAGCCCAGCTCCCTGTTTGTTCCTTCTAAGGCACTTTGCATTTTGTAATCGTTCTTTTGTTTACTGGTGTAAAGCCTGTTTTGCTTAAGAGGTCCATTTGACCAGGGCGAGGCTAGGCCTGGTACGGCTCCAGTGCTGAGAACATTACCTGCCCCACTGCAGATTGAACCAGAAAACCAGTTGTGGTGTGGGCGAGGTTCAGAGTGGCTCAGTAATGGACCTTGGTCACGCGGCTCCCCACCGGCACCAGTGGAATCTGCCTTTGGGCCGAACAACTTGGCAGTTACGTGGCTAATGCCCATTTTTGCCACTTCCGTTGTATTTTTTATTTTTTAAAAGATTTTATTTGAGAGAGAGAGCACGCACACGAGCAGGGGGAGGAGCAGAGGGAGAGGGAGAAGCCGACTCCTGCTGAGACGTGGGGCTCAACCCAGGACCCCGGGATCATGACCTGAGCCGAAGGCGCTTAATGACTGAGCCACCCAGGCGCCCCTCCTCCCTTGTATTTTTAAAATTACTATTTTTTAACCTTCAAGGCAACATGACATCTCACGGTGCTGATTGGTGCTGAATTAAATCGGTTCTCTGTAACATTTTCCTGTTGGAATTTGCCTATTGCAGTCGGTATTTACTGAGCTCATTTATGTATTGAACAGTGTGCTGAGTAATTTCTGTTTATTCATTTAATTGTTAGAGCCTCCTTTGTAGTTTGAGAAATGCAGCAGTTTATTGCACTTAACGTAATAACAGCGAGTAGCAGTCATAGGGCTTGTGTGCATAGTTCAGGGCCTCGTAACTTCCTATTCAGAGAACATGTTTTCTGTCAGTTTTTCCAAGTTGACTCTCTTCAGTGAGGTCACAGTTTGTCAGAGCTGTAGAGAGAGGGAGAGCGGCCCAGGGGTGTCAGTGGGCTGATCAGGTTTGTGGTTCATGTGTGCGCGCGCGCGCACAGGGAGAGCTGTGTGTGCGCGTGCAGGGAGAGCTGTGTGCGTGCGCGCAGGGAGAGCTGTGTGCGCGCGCGCAGGGAGAGCTGTGTGTGTGTGTGCGCGCGCAGGGAGAGCCGTGTGTGTGTGCGCGCGCAGGGAGAGCCGTGTGTGTGCGCGCGCGCGCGCGGGGAGAGTTGTGTGTGCGAGCGTAGGGAGAGCTGTGTGCGCGCGCGCAGGGAGAGGTGTGTGTGCGCGCAGGGAGAGCTGTGTGTGTGCGTGCGCAGGGAGAGGTGTGTGTGTGTGCGCGCGCGCGTGGGGAGAGCTGTGTGTGCGAGCGCAGGGAGAGCTGTGTGCGCGCGCGCAGGGAGAGGTGTGTGTGTGCGCGCAGGGAGAGCTGTGTGTGTGCGCGCGCAGGGAGAGCCGTGTGTGTGTGTGCGCGCGCAGGGAGAGCCGTGTGTGTGTGCGCGCGCGCAGGGAGAGCCGTGTGTGTGTGTGTGCGCGCGCAGGGAGAGCCGTGTGTGTGCGCGCGCGCGCGCGGGGAGAGTTGTGTGTGCGAGCGTAGGGAGAGCTGTGTGCGCGCGCGCAGGGAGAGGTGTGTGTGTGCGCGCAGGGAGAGCTGTGTGTGTGCGTGCGCAGGGAGAGGTGTGTGTGTGCAGGGAGAGTGTGTGTGTGTGCGCGCGCGCGTGGGGAGAGCTGTGTGTGCGAGCGCAGGGAGAGCTGTGTGCGCGCGCGCAGGGAGAGGTGTGTGTGTGTGTGCGCGCAGGGAGAGCGTGTGTTTGTGCGCAAGGAGAGTGTTGTGTGCGCGCGCAGGGAGAGGTGTGCGTGTGTGCACGCGCAGGGAGAGTGTGCATGCGCGCAGGGAGAGCGTGTGTTTGTGTGTGCGCGCAGGGAGAGCTGTGTGTGTGCACGCTCAGGGAGAGTGTGTGCACGCGCGCAGGGAGAGCGTGTGTTTGTGTGTGCGCAGGGAGAGTGTGTGCGCGCGCAGGGAGAGCCGTGTGTGTGTGTGTGTGTGTGTGTGCAGGGAGAGCGGGCCCACTGCCTTTTATTTATGTATTCAGCGAACGTGCAGGTACCGCGGACTTCTTGAAACCGTCTATTTTGAATACCTGGGGCTTAACCAAGTACATAAACTAGCCAGACTCAAACTGGCCACCCTCCTCCTAGGGCATTTCCTCTGTGCCCAGTGATACACCTGTTCCCCCCCCCTCTCCCCTGGCAGGGCCAGATCGTGGCGCCCCGAGGCTGCCGAGACTTTGGCTGGGATCCCTGCTTTCAGCCTGATGGATATGAGCAGACGTAAGGAGCCCCGTTTTCTTCCGGGGCGGTGGGGTTGGGGCAGCCGCGGTGCGGGTTGGCTGGGCGCCCCGCCCGAGCGCAGGCGTGCAGATTCGCGGGCCGGCCGTAGGCTGCTGCTGCAGCTGAAGGCGGTTCTGCTGGGGGGGACGCGAGGAATCCGCGTGGGCTGCTCTCCAGCGCGGGAGGCAGTCAGGCAGAGCTGGGAGTTCCGGGCCCTTGGGCTCCAGCTCCGCACAGAGCAGCTGTGTGACTCGAGTGCCTTCCCCTCTGCCCTTGGCTTGTCACATCTAAACCTGACCGTTTCATGGGATGATCTGGCTTCCCTGTGTAGTTTGGGAAAATGTTAATACTTCCAGCACCGCACGAAACCACCCCAGTGCCAAGTGTCCTCATTACTTCCCCCTGACCCCTCGGCCCCCTTGTTTGCACTGGACATGTTGGCCATTATTGGAATCAAGTGTTCCAGGCTTGAGGGGCCCCTAGGGAGCGTGGCCTGAGGCCTCACAGTAGCCAGACAGGGCTGAGGACGACGTGAAGCAGCACCATCCAGGAACGCAAGACCGAGAAAGGCTCTGTTTCTCCACTGTTCGATCCAGTACGTGGCTATCCAGTAGGACTTAGGAACTGAACGTAGTTTGATTCAACTGCGGTTGATTTCAACGTACATGGCCACTCGTGGCTAGTGGCCACGTACTGGACAGCCCAGGCCGGCGGCACCCAGGCGGGCTGTGGTCCTCACCTCACTGGAGGCCTGACACGGAGGAGGGGCCACCGGCCGGCTGTCGCACCACCCCCGCAGTACACAAGAGGAGACTGTCGTGTTACTCGGCAGGTCCCACTGTTTCCTGTCAACAGATGACAAAGCTGATCAAACATGCAGCTCGTCCCCCTGTCTCTGGCTTCCCGTAACGACTTTTGGACACAATTGGGCAAGTCTAACATCCTTCCACATTCGTCAATACGGGTTTCCACCTACAGGGGAATTTAAAACTTTTTTTTTTTTTTTTTTAAGATTTCATTTATTTATTTGACAGAGAGAGACACAGCGAGAGAGGGAACACAAGCAGGGGGAGTGGGAGAGGGAGAAGCAGGCTCCTGGCCGAGCAGGGAGCCCGATGCGGGGCTCGGTCCCAGGACCCTGGGATCATGACCTGAGCCGAAGGCAGACGCTTAACGACTGAGCCACCCAGGCGCCCCTCTCTCTGTTTTGTTTTTTTTAAATTAACTCTGGCTGCCAGGAGCTGGGGGCCCCATCACCCTTTCCTGGCGACTCCTTGAGCTTTGGGCTCCAGGACGGGTGAGGGAAGCGCACCCCCTGAATCCGGGCACCTCTGAACTGCTCTTGTCACCCCTCAGGTATGCAGAGATGCCCAAGGCGGAGAAGAACACCATTTCCCATCGCTTCCGGGCCTTGCTTGAGCTGCAGAAGTACTTCGGCGGCCTCGCTCCCCCGGTAGTTGGTGGTGATTGCCCCGGCCGGGGAGCTGGGGAAGGCTAGCCTGCCACCTCCGCCATCAGACGGGCAGCCCTCCAAGTACTGCCGTACGGATCACCGCTTCCTGGGGCGGGGGGGTTGAGACAGCCTCACCAGCCCTGGAGGAGCAGCTGGCTCAGCTGGGAGAAACTTGGGGCCCTTGGGGATTCAGTGGGCCCTCCTACAGCCTCCTGGCCTGGGATCCTGAAAGGACCTGGGCTGTGAACCTGGCCGCAGCAGGCCCGAGGGTTCGGGAAGAACCCCACAAATCGCCCTCGACGTTTTTAAAGGGTTAGAAATAAAAATACTGGAAGGCACTTTCCTCCAGAATAAACTGGATATATCAGCTTTGAAACCTGCCCCAGGCAGTTGTGTGTTTCCTGAATCTCTGCGCAGGAGCAGGAAACCTCTGGGGGGGTGGGGGGTGGCGGGGAACGACGATGGGACGAGGGTAGCAGCCGAGGGTGTCCGCATGACCTTGCTCGCTGGAGTATCGCATCTTTCTTCTCGTTCTTCAAGTTTCAGCTCGTGAGCTGACCGTTTCCATGCCAGACACATGCTGCCTGCCCCCCACGGAGGGAGGCCACCACCCAGCTGCCTCCGTGGTGTTTGCTGGGTTGGGGGGTGGGCTCTATTTCAGTATGACAGAGCAGCCTGTGGGGCTCCGCTGGGTTGTTAACCCCCGGAAGGGCTGTCTGGCTGGGGCTCAGACGTGGGGTGCTGGGGGCTCGTCTGCTCCCCGCCTGGTGATTCTGGATACAGCCCTCCCTGGAGGGAACACCCAGGCCACTGGGGAAGGGGCCCCAAAGGATCACATGCCGCACGCATGGGGTGGGTACATGGAGCTTAGGGCCGGGCAGCCCTCTGTGCTTGCTATCAACTCTTAGAGTGATGTCCCAGGCCTAGAGGACACTGTCCCCCTTTGCTACCCATCCCTACCCACACCATGAACATGCTTGTCCCCATGCCCACCTACCGGGGAGCATCACCCTGGTCCTCCCCTCCCCCCACCCATGCACCAGGGTACCCACCCCCCCACGCGGGCAGCCGGCCAGCCTTGGGAGGCTCAGTGTTGCCAGTTCCACGTGGACGATGCCAGCCCCCTTGGGGCTGCATTTGTCAGGTGACCTAGGGCATCGAGCATTCCTGCTGCCCCCTCACAGGTTTGCCTCTTCTATTGGAGTTGGAGTCCTGGTCTTTTTTTGTTGTTGGGTTTGCAGGAATTCTTAGCGTATCTAGATGTGAGTCCTTTTCAGTTTAGAGGTAGCAGATGTCTTCTCATCTGCGCCCTTGGTCTCTGGTGTGTTGGGGAAGCCAAAGTCCTGTAAGGTAGGTCATGGGACCTCTGGCCAACCACCAAGTGACCAAGCCAGGAACACAGCCCCTTCTCCCTTCCATCGAACCAATCCCCACATCCTGGCCTCCGAGTCTTCCACTTCTGTTCAGCACCACTATGCGTGCCTTGGTGCGGGGTGCAGCCCCTGCCCCACCCCACACAGGGCGTTCGTCACCACAGTGGCTCTGAGCTCCGTGAGCCCAGGCCCAGGGCTGCCAGACCCGCTCGTCTTTCCTCCACCAGCCGTGGCTCGGCACCGGCCCCAAGCCCTCTCCTCCGGGCCGTTGCACATGCTCTTCCCAGAACAACACCTCCCCTGCAAGCTTTCCTGGCAACCCCGCAGCGCCAGGGCCTCCTGGATCTTCCCCAGCCCCCTGTTGGGCCAACATCCACGGTGTGGGGCTGGAGGTGACAGCCTGTGGCACTCAACAAACCCTGGTCCTTTTTATTCCGCCTCCCCTTTACATCCGACTCGTATTCTCTGGTGGCCCTGAGGCTGGGGCAGGGCAGGACAGCAGAGATGGAAGCGTAGAAACAGGAGTTTTATTCTCTAGGGTGCATACAGCAAGTTCCTTACACAATCAAGGAAATGGTTTCTCTTTCAGACATCTGACTCTTTTATCAAAAGAAAATCCGTCCTGCTTAGTCCTACTCTGGACAGAAGTTGCCCTGAGCAGTGTTACTGACCCAAGCGAAAGGCTAATGGGGACAGGGATGGGCACCTACCGTGGAACACCCACCCCCCTTCCTATGCCTAGATGCCCTAGGCCTGATGGGACAGCTGGGACGGGGTGCAGCACAGAGCCCCACCCCAGAGGACACCCATACCTCCCCCCCGCATGGCCGCAGAGTCAGCCTGGGCAGAGCCAGAGAGACGAGTGAAGGGGATATGGCCGGGGCCTGCACGTCAGGGCCCCAGTCAGTGCTCAGCATCCATGGCGTCCAAATATTTGGCTTCAATGATTCGGGGCAGCAGGTTGTAGCTGGGCGGAGGGAGAGCAGACCTCAAGGTGAGCACTGGGTCGGAGAGCAAGAGGCAGAGGGCACCCCCCACCCCCTGCCGCCGCGGCCCGCCCGCCCGTACCGGATGGGGATCATGGCAATCATGATGAGGGGGAAGATCATCTTCATGTAGGGCAGGCTGCTCATGCCGAAGGCACATAAGAGCAGAAGCTGCAGGACCTGCAGGCCCGTGAAGTAGTGGATCTTCCTCTGCGGCACCCTCCGGACGTAGTGGGTGGGCGGGTACGAGGTCTGCGGGCGGCAGGGACCCGCTGTGGGCAGGCCTGGAGCCGTGACCCGCCCCACAGCCCTCACTCTCAGGGCCGGACACTCACCTGGTCCTTGAGCAGCAGGGCCACGCGCTCGAAGAGCTGGTTGCCGTCGATGGAGGTGAGCGCGATGTAGAGGAAGAGGCCGTAGAGCACGGGCTTGGGGATCCACTGCAGCGGGAAGGGTAGCAGCAGGAGGGAAAAGCCCACCAGGATGCTGGCGCCCAGTGTGGTCAGCCGCGTCTCCTTCACATTCACGATCCTGCATGGTCCCAGGGCACCAGCTCACCTCCGGCCCTGGTCCATGGGGCCGGGTCCCCCCTCGGCTCACATGGGGCTCCCCGGGCTCGCTCCCTGCCTGGGTCCCATGTGGCCCAGGGCCCCCCCCCACCTCAGGGCCCACATGACTTGCCTCAGGTCTCAAGGGACCCGGCCCGCACTCACGTCTCATAAATGTGCCCGTTCTCCACACGCTCCTCCACCAAAGCCAGGGCCCGCACGTGCAGCGGGGAGTGGGGGTAGGCAGCGTGGATCCAGGGCAGCCCAAACAGAGACAGCCCGCTGTTGATGACGGCGATGAGCAGGAGGTCCCAGTGGTAGGCAGTGCCCTTCACCAGCCTGCAGCAGACGGGGGCACGTGTGGCCGGATCCCCGAGGCCCCTTGCAGGATCGGGCGCACGCTCAGCCCTCCCCTGCCCAGCCCTGCACACCTGTTCTCTGGGGCATTCGCCAAGGCAGCCACCAAGTTCTGCTCGATGAAGAAGAGCAAGGAGAGCAGGAAGCCCAGGCCCATGGCGCTGGCGATGGCCCCCAGGGACAGGGAGTGCATCTCGGCCACCTCAAAGAGGCTCTTGCTGGGGTTGTAGCGGAACTGGCTCACTGCAGCAGGTACAGGCCCCTGCTCCAGCCTGCGACCCTCGAGGGGTGACCCCACCCCACCGCACCCCCTGCCAGACCCCAACTCACTCTTGATTTCCCGGAAGCCGTAGGAGGAGATGAGGGAGAAGGTGAGCACCGAGATGGGCAAGGCGCAGTCTGACAGGATCTCCCGCATGCAGGGGTGCAGGTAGGGGCTGGGGACACAGGTGGGTGTATCAGTGCGGCCTGGGGCTTGTGCCTCCTTCCCCTCGCCCGTAGGCCGCCCTCACCTCTTCTTGAACTGGTAGAGGGTGTAGCTCAGCCACAGTGTGCCCAGCATGATGAGGAGGCTGAGCACGGCGGTCTCCCGGCCCGGGTGCTCGGCATGGTGGCTCATGGAGGTCAGCTGGGGCGGGCGGGTCAGGAGGCTGGTGTTGAGGGCAGTGTGGAGGCTGGTGTTGAGGCTGGTGCCGAGGCCCAGCAGGCTCACCAGGGAAGTGCTGTCTGTATAATAGTTCCCGAAGTCGTGGTCATAGTAGTACTTCTGGAAGACTGTGGATACAGGTCAGCAGGCCTCAGCCATCCGAGCTCGAGGAGGCTGAGGACCAGCTCCCTCCTGGATGCGGGGGAGAGGGGGCCCCCGAGGGGAGAAAGGGCTTCTGGGGGGGACAGGGAAGGGAGAGGGCCGCCTTTCTTTGTCAGCCAGGAGGGCCCCCACTGACCTGCTTGTCCACCCACCGCCCCGATCTCTGACAGTGCCTCACACCTGGCCCCGTGCCTCTGATCCTGCCTGGGTCAGCCCTGTCACCCTCCAGCACCTGGCACTGCTGCTCTCTGCTGGTCACAGCTCCCGAGAGCACCCTGGACCGTGGAAGGAGCCTTAGCTTGCATGCTGCTTGGCGGCCCTGGCCACAGCCCATAGTCCCCCAGCTCAGCTCAGTTTCCCCTGCAGCAGGCAGCCACTGGCTAGACACTCACTTTTGACCATGCCCTTGACAGCATCCAGCATGAAGGTGATGGAAATGAAGAGGGCAATGATCTCTTCTGTCGACCTGCCGGGGGGGGCGGGAGGGGTGTCATGCCTCATCAAATGGGGGTGAACCGTCAGGGGGCTGGGCAGCGGGGGTGGGGGGGAAGGCTTCCCTGAGCCTCTGCACAGCCCCCAACCTCCTCCTGCCATGAAGCCCAGGGTCCCACGCTTCTCTCTTGGGGCAGTGATACGCTGGGGGCACCGCAGCCACTTTGGGGTTACAGGGCCTCGGAGGCCGGCATGGAGGCTGACCCAGATCCCCGGCCTTGGTCTCCCTCCTGCTTGAGGGTCCCAGCAGCTTGGGGAAGGCCCTGTCACCTCTTGAAGAGACGCATGACCAGACTGAGGTTGAAGAGGGCATAAAGTGCGAGAAAGAAACTGTTCCACAGGCCCGTCCACGCGTAGAAGGTGTTGAAGTCCAGATCGTAGTCACCACAGATGCCACAGATTACTGCAGGCAGCAGGACGAGGGGGCTGGTCAGGGCTGGGCTGGGGCCGGGGACCACGGGAGCCACCCCCCACCGCCAGTGCCGCGGCACCTTGGATGTAGAGGGCCAGGGGCGCAGTGGTCAGCAGCACCACGAGCGGCTGCCCTGAGAAGAGAGCGTACAGGAGGCCTCCGATGCTCTGCCCCGCCATGGTCTTCTGCACATCTGAGGAGGTGGGGGGGGCGGTCAGGGGGTGCCACAGCCCTGGGCCTCCCGCCCCGCCCCCACCAGCCTCCCGCCCCTGCCTCACCGATGGCCCCGTTCGTGTTCTCATCGTTGAGGGACCCAAAAGCGATGGTGGGCAGGAGGCAGGTGAAGTAGAGGAACAGGGTGGTGGTGATGTATTTGCCCACAGCCTTGTTTTTCCCAATAATGCCTAGCGATGGGACAGGACAGGAAGTTTGCTAGGGATGCAGGACAGGCCCATGTGTTGTCCTGGGACCGAAGCCACAGGCTGAGCTCCGGCGGGGGTGGGGGACCATAGGGCCACGTACCGTCTGTGAAGTCCAGTGGGTACACGGGAAACCTGCGGGCAATGTCCTCCCGGATGCCCTTCCCCACAGGGAGAAAGTCCTTGTGCTTCAGGGGCTGGGGAAGGGGACAGATGTCTGTCAGCTCTGCAGCCCATAGCTTATGTGTCACCGCAGCCGCCCAGGCCTGCCTCCCCGCCGTACCTGTGCGGGTCTGTGTCTGCAGATGGAGTTCATGTTGTAGCCCTTGGCGCCAAGGGCTGGGCACTGGCTCACCACGGTGAGCAGCTGTCTCTGATGCACCAGGGCCTCCTTGAATTCCTCCTCCGTGCGGGTGTTCAGGAGCTTCTGGCGGAAGGTGATGTCCAAGAACATGGTGGCGAACGTGCGCCCCACCTCCGCGGCAGTCTTGGTGCTTTTCTGGGGGCAGAAGAAATCACACCTGCAGTTCCTGGAGAGTTGGGGGATCCCCCGCCCTGCCCATCACCGATAGTCCCAGGCACAGGGCAGGTGCCCCCCACTGTGAAGTGGCAGCAAGTTTTGTCCCCCAAGGGTCAAGCATTAGTGGAGTCGGCCAGGATTCCCGCCAGGTCAGCAGATCACCAGAACCACCATCAAGTCTCCGAATCTCCTTAATAAACTCATGAGTTCTTATAAACTGAGGTACTGGTATTGTCCCAAGGAACACAAACCTGCATCATCGTGGATAATGAGATCACAATGATGGACACAAATCTTCCCCAGCTCCGCTCCCCTAGCTGTATTCCCAACCGTCTGCCGGTTTATTTGATTTTCTGAGGGGCTCCAGGCCTGTCAAGCCTTCTCCCTCTTGCCTGACCAAAGTCAACTCTGTCCATGAACTCCGGGCCCAGCCTCCCTCACGGCAACCCCTTCGTGCTGCCCAGAGCCGTCGTCCCAGGCCCGTCCCGCCCACGCTTTGCTTTCCTGTTCGCTCTAGAACAGGCTCGCTCTCCAGAGGAGGAGCCAGGTGTTGGGCTGGTTGGCGCTTGTCACCAGGCAGGAGTCCAGCCACTCGGCCCTTGGGATGCTGCCCCTTCCACGGCTCTGGCCGCCTCACCAGCTGTCACTCCCTCTGCCCGACACGCAGCCCACTTCCGCTCTCCCCAGCGCTGTAACCTCCCCAGGAGGGACATTCCCCTCAGAGCCTGCTTTGCCTAAGGGGGCAGAATCGTCAAGAAGCTAGTGGAAGTTTAAGCATGAAGGCCCTTCTCAGGCCTGGGGAGAGGCCTTCGCTATTTTCTATTTATGATTTTGAAATCCGTTTCCTTCGAAGAAGACTCCCCAGACCATATTAGCTTCAGCCCCCACACGGGCAAGATGTGCCCCTGACCAGGGGGTACATGGCCCAGGCAGAATTGGGGATCCCCGGCCAGCAAATCATAGAGCCAGCCACCTGCAAGAAGGATCGGGGTTGGGGTAGACTGATGAAAAGCCCCCACGTTGGAATACTAATTTTAACAAGTATCTCTTTTCAGCCAAGAAGGAAATACCACTTTTTGGGCAACCTCGGGGGAAATTAGGGCTTGATGAGGACCTAGCAAGGATGCTTCAGGGAGACGTGGGGGGCAGATCTGAAGGACAGCGTGAGCACGAGGCCCTCGGGCCCGGACTGTGGGATCCCCCAGCACATGGAGCAGATGCTCCCAGGGAGAGGGCCAAGTAACCTGGGACCTTCCTTCTCAGGAAACGGAGCCACCCCCAGACCCCTACTCACCATCTTGGGCGGGGCCAGCACCAGGATGACGAACCGCACCTCACATGAATTCTCCCCCCAGTTCTGTGGGCGAACCAGACGGCTGATGCACACATGTCGCTTCAGCAGGGCCTTGGAGGTGCAGCTGCCAGGGGCGGGGAGGGCACACGGTGCATGGTTGCCACCCTGGGAGCTGGGCTCCCCCTCCCCCGGAACCCCTGACTTTGACCCCCCAGTGACCTCTGATGGGAGTGCTCACACCTTCCACCCCCAAACTGGGTGGGCCAGCTGTCACTGGGGAGGACAACGTGGTGGCCTGGCAACTCACATGATGCAGATCCAGGACTGCTGGTATTGCACCCCCGTGACCGTGGCAGTGACCCCTTGGATGGTATCTGACAGCAGGTGGGCTGAGGGCAGAGCGAAGGAGGTCAGAGGGCCCGCCAGCCCACCTCCCTGAGCTCCCGTGCTCCACTGGGGAGCCGGGCCCCACCTTTCCCCTCTGTGGGGGCCCCGGCATCGGTGAAGAGCATGGCCATGAACAGGTCCAAGTTGCAGTCAGGCTCAGTGTTGTGGGGGTCGTGGGCTAAGCGGCACAGCATGGCACGCAGCACGTCATCCAGCGAGGTAGCCGTCTCGTTCAGGATGATGCTGGCCCGGGCCAGGAAGCCATCTAGGTCCCGGTGTGCCCGGATCTCTTCCTCAAAGTTCTTTAGCTTCAGGTACTGTGGGGACCGCACACACAGAAGCACACAGGCCCGTGAGGGAGATCCGCGGTCATGGCCTGGGACCCTCCTCCGTGGTGCGCCCCGGCTGCCCCGGCCCCTGCCCACCAGGACCAGCACCCCTTCCGAGAGGGACGGCCCAGCCTGGCTGGCCCCCACGGCCGGGTCGAGGGCTAGCGGGAGATATCTGTGCGGTGTGAGCTACCCCAGGGAAGCAGCCACCTCCACCCCCAGTGGGTGGCCCAGGAGCAAAGGTGTCCTGTCCCGCTGACGGGCCACTCACCTTGCGGGAGGTGTGTAGGAGCCCACAGCCGCCAGGCGATTCACTCTCGGCTAGGGAAAAGTGGGAGGGCTCAGGGGGCCACCCCACCTCGTCGGGACTCTCTTGGTGGCGTGGGGCCGTGTCTGCCCAGCCCCCAGTCCCCTGCCCGCCCCCCCCCAGCCTGTCCCTGCTGCAACCCCCATACCAGCCTGGGTGGGCTGCACCTCGAGGTTGACGTTGACAAAAAAACGGATGCTCTCGCCAGACACGATGGAGGAGTTGACCGTGTCGAAGGCCTCATCCCCCAGGCTCTCCTCACGGGTTTCAGAGGCATCATCCATTTCACACTTGAGGTAGCCTAGAGACCCAACCACCACCGAGAGAGACCCCCCCCAAAGAGGACCCGGTTGTCAGTGCTACACACCAGAGGGAGGAACTCCAAGCCCAAGGAGCAGGGGCGCCCCTGGGCTGTCCCCCTTGGTGCACTCAGTGAGTGGTGAGGGAGGCCTCTTGTAGGCCAGGAAGGAAGCCTCAGGCCCAGGTGGGCCGAATGTCTAGTCCCAGCCCAGCCCCAATCAGAGTATGGCAGCCAGCTGGCAGCCCCCACCCAACGGCTTTCTCCAACATTCTTCAGCTGCAGGAACCAGGGCCCTGCACTGTTCCGACCCATGTGTAGCCTCTCAGCTACAGAAAAATATGGTCATTCCACAACCCTGGGCCCGGTAGGTGGTTCAATGATGAGTTAAGACTGGCCTCTGCCCTCCCCGAGCCCCCAGATTACAGGACCCAGACCTGCCGGGCTCCCTAGCTGGGACCCAAGGGAAGCCAGAACTACTGTGGCGTCCGGGCCCCTCCCCACCTTACTGGCACAGGGTTTCAGAGTGCTTCCTTTCTGGGAGGGCATGGGGGGTGAAGCATCAAGGCTGACAGACTCGGTCCAGACAGCAGACAAGGCCCAGGAAGTAAGGGAGCCAGAGATACAGTCAGGGACTGAGAGGGGGGACCCAATGGCAGGCAGGAGGAGTGTCGTGGCACCTTGGGACTCCCTCTCTGAGCGGAGCCTTTCTCTGGGTGGGCCTTAGTTCCTCCATCGGCTCCCAGCCCCAGCGCCCCTCCTCTAGAGGAAGCCTTCCTGGTGACATGCAAATGTTCCACCCTTGCTGGGGCTCCTCGCGAGCTCTGGGATGGCAGTTTGGGCCAGGCCTGCTACCCTCATCCTGACCCCCGGTTCCGCCAGGCCCGGTCCCACTCCCGACCTCTGATGGGCCGTCCTCAGGCCAGCAGGCCGACACCCCAGGCAAGCCAGTGCTATGCTCCAAGCAGAGGGCCTCCCTCCCCAGAGGGCCTTCTTCCAGGCTCCACAGAAGCTTCCTCTTGCGGCTGGTCCTCCTAGGGCCCTGCCGGCACCCCTTCCTGACTGTCCTGCGGGTCCCTATGGTTCACCACCTGGGAGTGCTCCCAGGAAAGGGGCTCCTGGAGCCCAGACCCCCAAGGATGCCTGACAAACACCTGTGCAGGGCCGGGGACAGGTCAGCAGCACGCCTAAACCTGCCAGCCAGTGACTCACCCTGACTCACTTCCACTCTAGCCCGCCACTTTCCTCTGCACACCCCAGGCCCCATTCCCCCAGTGTGCTGTGCTCAGCCTGGGCCCTTTCAGGCAGGAGGTGCTGGGTCTGCACTGCAGAGTCCCGAGTCAAAAGATGTCCTTCCCATTTTTGTCATGGAGCTCATGTCCATGAAAAACCCCTTCCTCCCCAGTCCCCACCTGCCCTAGCCTCCCTTCCGTCACCCCCACCAGCACCTGGGCACTGCCCTTCACACTGCCCCCTTCTCCCCTACTCTGGGCTCTACCTAGGACCTGCCCAGCTGATGCGACCAGGTCCCTGCAATGCTCCTAGGAGGCCATGTCCCCACGTCCATCCTGTAAGCCCAACCACACACCTAACCCACCTGCCAACAGCCTGGCCCCTGCAGTCACCAGGCCCTGGGGGCCCTGGGTCAGAGCCTATCACCACTCTGTCCAAGCACCATCCCACTGAACACCCCTCAGATGGTCAGGCCAGGCCCCAGGTCTGGGCACAGGAGATCCCCGAGACACAGAGAGGGGGAGAGCTGGTCTGGAGCAAGCAGGAGAGCTGAAGCGGGGAAAGGTCCGGTTACATGGCTTTAGAGGGACAATGGCAGCCCCCTCCCTCGCTGGGCTGGGCAGGGACTGAGGGATGTGGGCATATACGACATGGCCTAAAGGCTGGCCCAGTAACCAGAGCATTCTAACGCAAACCAAGGCAGGTCACCAGATGGTCCACAGAGCCCAGGAGAGGGAACTGCCTGCCCTCACAGGACCACGGGAGCGACCTGTCCGTGTCCGCCCCTGACCATACCACCACCTCCTGGACGGGAAGCTCTAAAGGCATCCCAGCACCAGCAGAGGCCCCCAGATGGGCGGTCAATGCCATGGGTACTCAGCTGGAGGGACCAGGACCAGGTCCCCTAGAGACTTTTGACCAAGGAGCTCTCTCCACACACACCCCCAGAGGTACTCACCTGCATCCTCAAGGTACCCGTTCTGCGACATGTTAGAGGAGTACTCTGTAAGGAAAGCCCAAGAATTGTTACCAGCTCCACCAACCAGCCCCGGACAGTCTCCTGTGCCCAGCTGCTCCCCACCCGACACCCACCATGCTGACGCCTTCTTATCCTTCCCAGGTACCCAATACAGGCCAACCTGGGGGGAATAAGAGCAGGGGCGCACTAGGCAGGGGCCCCCTACGGAGCCAGAGGAAGCCGAGCCTGTCACTCTTCAGCCAATCTGCTACGGTCTGCCCAAGTGGGAAAGGGCCAAGTGGGGTGGGGGGGAGACGTTCCCAGCACCGTTTCCTCCAGGAGTTATTAACAGTACCCGTGCAGTACCGTGGACTGTGTTATTCAGCACCAGCCGCCAGGGCTGGAGGGAGGGGGCCCGTCCCTCCACCCTCCATGTAGTGGCCGGCCTCCCTGGCCTCCCTCTCTCGCTGTTTCGTTGCCAAGCCCAGCACCTGGGCTGGGGGCCTCCTGCCCGCACATAGCGCCTCTCACTCTCACATCGGTCCCTGGGGCCATCAACACCCATCACATGTGCAGTCGCCCCCAACCGCACGCGCCCGGGGTCACAGGGGGCCGACTTGGCAACCGCCTCCTCCCCTCGGTGCCACCCGCGTCCCGGGCCTCCTGGGAGGCGGAGCCGTTGGTCCTCCCGGGAGAAGGCGAGGGGGGCGGGGAGGGGTTGGGGAGCGGGGAGCGCCGGGCGCGCTCACCCGGCCGGGCCCCGGATCGTCCCGACTGTTTGTGCCGCTCCGTGCGAGGAAGGAAGCGACAGGAGGGGCCGCGTGCACGAGAGGAAAGCGCCTCCAGACTCGGAGACCCTGGGGGTCGGGGGGCAGGATGCGGACGGACGCGCGGGACGGGAGCCCGGGCTGCATCCAGAGGGGAGGGGCGGGGGCGGTAAAGCTAGCATCCGAGGCTGCAGGGATGGACAGAGGACGAGGGTGACGAGGGTCCGGAAGGGTGGGGGTGGTGCACACCTTACTCTCATCCCGGGCGCCCCACGTGCAGGTAAATAAATGGCCGTACAAACCCCAGGCTGGCCCTCAGGCGTCAGGGCCGCGAGGTAAAGGCTGCTGCGGCCTCGCAGGGGGCAGTCGGAGGCCCCCGGATCTCTAAGAGTGGGCAGGCTTCTCCGCAGCGCGGGGACGAGAAGGTGTCCCGGCAGAACGTAGCATGAGGCGGCAGCGTACCCGTGCTAAGGACCCCACAGATCTGTCCCAACCACTTCCACGCCCCACTCCTCCACTGGCTACCGCATTTCAAGTCGGCGAGAGGGCATTATTAAATCGAGCACGCAGTGTCCACGAGGCTCCCTGGGCCTCCCGCCGCCACCCTCGTACTCCCCCGGCCTTCCCTCCCTCTCCGCCGAACTCACACCTGACCCCAGGCCTGGGAAGCTTCCACGACCCCCTCGCCCACCGTGGCCTGGGGCCTCTGCAGGCCGGCGGCAGCCGCGTTCCCCCCGGTGCTCCGACGGCTCCGCGACCCCGCCTAGCACCCCTTCGCTGCGGAGAACGGACGGCCCTCCCGCCGCGTCCCCGCCGCGCCTGCCGACTTAGGCACCCACCGCATGGCTGGAGATGGAACATGCGCCGGGTGGCCGCAGCCATGGCCCCGGCGATCGGCCGCCAGACGGCTGCACAGATGCGCGCACAGCCGGGCTCCTCACCCCCCGATCTCCGGGACCCCGAGCTTGGCGATTGGGGCGGGCCAGCGGCCGGAGCCGGCGACACACCCCCGCGCCGCGCCTGGGTCCTAATGCCGCTCGACGCCCCGCCCCGGTGCCGCCCTGGGCGGGGTCCCGTCCGCCCGCCCGGCGCCCTCACCCGCGCTCCTGTCGGTCCCGAGCAGGCTGCTCCCGGGAGCCCGGGGCGACTCCGCCAGAACGTGTAGGTCGGGCTCCTACGCGCCCGCGTGCCCGCCCAGGCGTCGCCGGATTAGGGGCTGGGCGGGGCTGGGAAGTTTCTGGGAAGAAGCTCGACGGGCCCAAGGACCCACGAAGTTGTGCCTCTGCGGCGGGTAGCCGGAGGACTCGCCGAGCGTCAGCTTTATGCGCGCTGCAGGCCCCCCGCCCTCGGCTCGGCAGGGGGCCTCGGCAAGGCCCAGCCTGCCAGCTGCCCCGCCCCCTCCATTCATCCCAGTTGCTCGAGTGGTAAACTCTTCTTCTCCTCCTCCAGGAAGCACGCCCCGACTAACTAGATGGGCCGGCGCGCGTTCCCTGGGCTACGCCCTAGTGCGCGGAGCCAGCGGCGCTCCCGGCTCGGCGGCGTCGGGTTTGCTCGCTGTGCGCCTCGAGGTTTCTCTTCTGGCCTCTGTGCGCCCCCGGCTTTCTCTTGGGTCAAGGTCTTGGCTCGCGGCTTCTTTCCTTCCCAAGGTAGCCCGGCCGCCCGGTTTTCCTTCCCGAACAGGGGGGAGCCCGACCCGGGGACGTGCATTCGCCAGCGCCTGGTCTTCTGCGAATCGAGAGAGAGAGAGGGAGAGAGAGAGAGAGAGAGAGAGAGAGCGCGAGCGCGTTTAGTGTAGGGAGGCGGTGTTGCGCGCAGGCAGGCCCGCGTCCACTACGACCGGTCAGGCAAATCCAGCCCATGCGATGAACCCCTGGCCTGACCCTCGGTGTCTTCTCAGCAAACGATTCCACGGCCCTTGAGCCCCAGTTGGACTCAGGAACTCTCCCCACCAGTGTTAACCCCCACCCCTCCACACTCTGGCTCCCAGCCCTAAGACTAGCAGCGATCCCGCCCTAACCTCCTGCTGGGAAGGAGTCCTCAGCCACTGTCCCCCAGGCCTGGAAGAGGGCGGGCTGGGCAAGCAGAGGGCGAGCCCACCTCCGCGGAGGCGTTGCTCTGCAGCCCCCAAGGGCTCCTGGTGCGTTGGGGGAGCCCTGTACACAGACCGGGTGAGCTCGGCTATCGGTTTCCACTCCCGGCAAGATAGTGCATTGGGAGGGAAGCCATGGGGGCATCCTTCTGCAGATGAACGGCCCGGCAGTCGGGAGGGCTCTGAGCACGCTACTCCTTACTACCAGAGGAGATGCCGCAGAAGATATCTACCAGACTCAGAGGACTAGCTGGGGGCTGGCTGCATGTTCTCTGTGGGGCTCAGCAGGGCCTGGAAGGAGACACACAGGGTCTTCCTGGGGAAACCCTGCACTCCACCCTTGGGATCTTCCTTAGATATCCTCTAGCTAGACCCTCAGACCATTTCATAGACTTCCAGAGGCCCCAGGAGGGGGGTTGAGGAGGAGCTGAAGGACAGACAGGCTACCAGAAAGCAAGGTTGGATAGGGTGGGTGGTACCAGGGCTGGACCCCTAGAAAAGCTACCTATTTTGCCGCCCGCCTCTCACATCTGGGAATGCCTAGGCTTCTGCATCTGTCTTCCTGTGTCAGCACCAGTTCCCAAACACCCAGACCTTCCAACCCGCCTTCCAGGAAGCCACCCTGGATTCGAGGGGCAGCCTCCTCCCTCATCTGGGACCCCACCGCTTAGCCCACAGGGAAGGCCTCCCCGCAGTGGTGGATGGACCTGACTCTCAAAGGAACTGCCACTGAGCCCTTCCCTGCTTCCTGCCATCTGCCCCTGCAGGTTCTGTTCCCCTAGTTGCCCTGGAGGGAGCCCCAGAACTCCGCAGACCACCCCCCCCAACACAAGAAGCTGTTTCCTTTGGCTCTCCCACCCACCACCTGCCTTCTGTGCATTAGAGGCCGAGGGCAAATAGAGGTGCCCCAGGTATCCCTGCCTGTGCCCCATTGGGTCCTTACACGGGCAGGCAGTTAGGGATCCAGACATAGGTACACACAGTTCGTCTCATTCCCCTTCCTTGGGCTCCCTTTATTGGGCTGTGGACCTGAGTGCTGGGTTCCACAAGGCACTTAATGGCTTTCCAAAGGAGTTTCAACTCAGTTTCCCCTGTAAGCCTCTTAGGCTTATAGATTGTAGAACCTGGAGTGAGAAGTAACTCTGTATATCTCATTCAAAAACACAAATTAGAGGACGCCTGGCTGGCTCAGCAGGTGGAGCATGTGACTCTTGATCTCAGGGTTGTAAGTTCGAGTTCCATGTTGGGTGTAGAGATTACTTAAAAATGAAATCTTTACAAAAATAAGAATAAAAACACAAAAAACCACTTCCTTGAACTCCCTTCCTCCTCCAGGAACCATCCAATTCCTCAGCGGTGCTTTCAGACATTTCTCCAGACTTTTCTCTGCAACTCTATCTCCACACCCTCTCTTACTCTTCAACCCCCCTCATATGTCTTTTGTCCCCGCTCCGGCACTGAAACTGCCTCAGCTCTTTTGCCAGGCCCTCCCCCCTCCCCTGGCAGGGCCCAGCACCACCCTCCCCCTCCTCCTCTGTCGGAGCTGGACCCACGGCTCTCTTGCAGTCACAGCCAACAATCAGATTGCGTGACTCCTGTCACTGAGCTCCGGACCCGACACGCCGCAAGTCCTTCCTCCCTCCCCCCAGCCTGGATGGCTAATAGGCAATTCTCAGCAAATCCAGGCAAAACAGAGCTTCCAAGTCCACCATCCACCTGGCTGCTCCGGACCGGGAGTCGCCCCAGTGCATCCACGTTGGATCCATGAGCAAATTTTGTTGGGTTTACCTTCAGAACAGAGCACAGTTTTGCCCCCTTTCACCTCCAGCCTGGTCCACCATCTGGCCTTCTGACTTGCCCCCACCCCTATCCATTCTCCATCACCAACGGCTTCTCCTGGTGTTTAGAAACAAACAAACGAACAAACAAACAAACACAGCAAAGCCATCTCCCTGCTGTGGGTGCCTGGAAGGGGTGTCTGCAGCCCTTACCACTGCTCACTTCATCCTTCGGCTCTGGTGGGGGAGGCCGTCCCCGCTCCCACCATCCATAGTAGTTGCTGTTTCCTTCCCTCACAGACCCCCGTGGCCCCTCGCTGCAGCATGGCCTTCTTCATCCTCAGTTTGCTGCCTGGGCCCCATCTCCCGGGCCAGACTACGAGCTCCCTGAGAGCAAGGCTGTGTGTCTTTCCCCAGCACAGCACCCAGCGCAGTAGGTGCTCAACGAACCTGTGACAAGTGGAAAGCACAACGAACCTGTGACAAGTGGAAAGCACAACTGATGTCTCCACATATGGTTCCCAGGGGCTTTCAAGCCAGTGAAGCCCTCTATCCTCCACTGCCACTCTGGTTTTCCAGCTGCACCTAATGGGGGACCCGATTCCCTAGGTTCCCTCCCTCTCACCCCAAACTACTCGGTTGTGGAACCAAATCCTTTTATTTCTACTTCAGGTGGGCCCCATCCTTCCACCTTCCCCTTCCTTGGACCTTTGGCAAGCATGGCTTCCCACACCTTGCAGCCATCAGGCTTCCCTCGAGTCGGCTCGGGTTTTATAAGCCTCTTGGGGCTTCTGCTGCCTTGAGCAGGCTTCACAGCCCCTCAGAGCCCCTCACCATCCTGGGAGGAGAGATGCTGTTCCCACGTTATCCCTCTAGTGCTGCTGGTGGGCTGGGGGAGGGAACAGGGCCTCCACTGACCCTCCTCTCCTGGGGGACATCTCCAAGCCCCATAGATGGGGGGGGCCTTATGGTACCCCTCTCCGAGTTGCTGTGTATCCACACTGAAAGATCCAGGCTCCTAGGAGGGCAGGAATCCCTGTGGAGGGCCAACAAGGACCTGCTCCCCTTAGAAGGACATCTCTTTTGTGCCACCCCCTGCCCCCATCAACTCACAGTCACAGTCTAGAGGTTGAAGTGGAGTCTTTTTAGCTAGAAAATTCCATGAAGTTTTGGTTATCAAATCATCTTTCTTCTTCCTGTTGTCCTTATTTTGCTATTATTTGTACATTCATCCAGGCATGAAACTTCTGAGTAAATATGTAAAGTTTCTTAAAAACTTGGAGCTGTGTGAGGAAAAAAAAATAAACTTCTCTATTGGTACAGTAAAAGCAGTAGTAATTGTAGGATAAGATGGACATATATTCACATTTTATTTGATTAGTTTTTAAAAACAGATTTATAGTCATTTATTGGTTTAACATAAAATGTATTAATCCTGATACATTTTTTTTTTTTAACCAAATTATTTTGGCTGGTCACTTTAGCAATGCAGGAGCCTGGGAAAAACAGGAATAATTTGTGGATAAATTTATTTTTCTCCAAATTTTTTGATAATGAAACAAAAATGTTTTTGGAATTCTTTCATAACATTGGGTTTTTTCCACTTGGTTTTTTCCACTTCTACCTGAAGGTCACCCCCTCGCTCTTGTCTAATTAGTCATTTTGACTTGTCAATTGTTCCTTCAAAATCACTCTCCATTTAGTCCTCTTCTCATTCCCAGCAATGTGGAGCAGCGGTCCACCCCCACATTACAGTCTATATGATCTTTCTTATTTAGGGGAAAAAAAAATGATTTTCAAAACAGGCTCCCATGGAACACTGGTGTCCCTGAGTGTGCTGAGGCACTAGAGAGCCAAAAAATAGTGGTCTTTTCTCAGTCTGCAGGGGGAAATGGTCCTACTGCATGGAATGTTTTTGATTAAAACATTTCCCCCCCTTGGTTAAAAATCAGTACCACCACAACAGAACAACTTTGTGTTCGCTATCACTTGTACTAGAAGAGACTAGCAGAAAGCAAAATTTAAAAAGATCAAGTATATATCTGATTTTAACAGAAAAGCTCAGAAACGGTCTGCCATGCTGGTCTAGGGGGGCAAGCCCTTTTTTGGGGGACTGAGATTCACCAGTGGACCTGATTTGGGGGGGCCCTTGGAAATGCACAATGGCCCTTGGCCAGGCCAGTCAGAATATTCCTGACCATTGTGACTGGTTCGGGGATGGCAATGTGACCTCAGACTTCGGTGCTGCCTTTGGAGAAGGCTGGGTCTTCCCTTTGGGGTGTTGGGGCTGTTGGCAGCATAAAGGAAGCTCACTGCCAGGGAAGAGGGAGGCCACCAAGTACGGAGTGAAGGCTCTGATGACACTGGAGCTGGTACCACCCTAGACTCTTCTTACAGCAACCAAGCCATTCCCTTTCTATCATGGGCTGGCAGGGGGGCATATTGTCATGTTTCCTCTGGGCATGACTGTTTCCTAGATTGTATGATAGAAACGAACACATAATTACTTCTCCATGCTCCTGAGAGAGCTCTGTGATACTCAGCAGCTCTACCCGAGACCCTCTGCTCCAAGTCACTTCCCATCAATCAGCCAGGATTCCCTGATTCTGAGGCTCCTGCTCTGTCAAGCATGCCCTCAGCTTTCAGTAGTCCAGTGGCCCTACTGTGGGCTCCAGGTGGGGACAGGCCTCCTCCCCAGCCCCAGGCTTCCTGGCCTCTAAGTCCTCCTGGCCCTCAAAGATCATTGCCTCCAGGAGCCCTTCCACATAGTGTCAACCCCATCTCCCTGACAATTGTGAGGCTAATCCCTAAGCCCTGGTGGCTTCCCAGGAATGCAAAGCACAGGAGCTCCCTCAAGGTTCAAATCCGGCCCTGCAGGACTGGGAGGCGTGAGACTCTGGGGAAAGGGGTTGTGAGGAAGGGGATGCTTCTGCCACCCCCTCTCCCAATTCTCTGGGCCCCTCACATGCAGTTTTGCCTTGGTTTGTACATGACTCATTGAGCACACAGAACCTCCAAACCCAAGACCACCTTCCCTGCCATCTGAGGGAGGCTGCTTCCTCCCTGTTGGGCCAGCTCTCCATCTTCCCAGCAGGGCACTTCCCTTGTCCGGAGCCCCTGCCTTGAGAGCGGGACAGAAAGCAGGGTCTCTGTGAAAGCGCAGCACCTCCTTGGCAATCAGCTCTTGCCCTGCATTGCCCACGGCCCCAGCCAGGCCCCCCACCGCACGCAGAGAGAGGCGCTGGTGACCACTCCACTAGAGCTGCGGGCCTTTGGGCGGCCTCTCCCTGGGAGAGGTGGATATTAAACTTCACAGTCAAAACCCAGAGGCGCCTGGCAGGTTCCAGGGGCCCCAGGCTCCCTGGGTAGGGTAGCGCCAGAGGGGCGTCTTGGAGGGACCTTGTGCCAGGGCAGTGGCTCTGACCCCTGGGCCAGACCCACCCTCTTTGTTTTCAGTCGTTCCCATTTGTAAAGTGGCAGCAAGGGCCACCTCACGGAGCTTTGGCTGGAGTTACATGAGCCGACCAGCTTGTCAAGCACCCTGCTGAACAGATAGCTGGCTTCCTCAAGCCCCTCTTCGGGTTCTGGGAGTCCTGAGAGTGCCCATCCCCATGCAGGGTGGTCTCGTGAACTTTACTCTCTGTTGGCCCTCTGGGGTCTGGGGATGGGGACGTGCACCCCAAGGACCTCTCTCCAGCTGCCCAGCAAAGTGCTTCCCCGGGAGGCCCAAGGAAGGGCCCTAGTTCCAGGGGGTGGGCCTTCCCAAGTCCCACCCGCCCCCTTGGGGCTGAGTCCACAGCAACAGGCAACTGCACCAGGTCCTGCTTGTTCAGTGAGAGTTTATTGGTCCTTAGCATGACATCTCAGTTACCAAGGTAAATTCACATACACGACTGCAGGTAAAAACATGTAAAATAATATAAAAATAAATTGAAGGCTACTTTTATATATTTACTGAATTAAGTAGTGTAATAAATACTATAATAAGCAAAAAGCTTCAATCACACAATTCAGTTTCACTGAAGTTACAGTAGTGTTTGTAAATATGAGTTTTAAAATTTAAGTTACAAATATTAAAGCACTGAAAAACTAGTATAAAAGTGAATTTTGGCACGTAAGTGAGCTCTTCTGTCATTAGTATTTGACAACCTGGGACAAGGAAGCCTTTTCTCACCTACTTTTTGAGGTATAACTATCCAACTAGGTCAGCGACACACTGGAATACTTAATAGTTTACAATCTTTGAGTTAACATTTCCCTTTTGAGAAGCCCAAAGAGCAACCCAGAGCTTATTACTGTGCAAAAATTCTCCAAAATCCTAATAGAATTTAGGAGGGAACTTTTTCTTGCGACCCACAGGGCCCAGGGTCCTGGCCTCAGGTCAGAGAGCCCCCAGGGCTCGGATGGGGCCAACCAGACTCCTTGCCAGCAGCCCCTTCCTAGGGTGATCCCTTTTCTCCAATTTCTGTCTCCTCCTTCCAATCAAAAAAAAAGGAAAAAAATCCCACATCAAAACGTAAAATAACCCATAACTTCAGCGACTTCAAATTATCACACTCACTCTGGGTGATATAAAACTGAAGCTGCTAATAGGAAAGTTGGCAAAAAGCACGTAAGCCCCTGGAGGACTTCTGCCTGTCCCTAAGGAACCTACTACACCTGATGTCTCTGCTGGGTCCCTGGCATCCACTCCAATGGTCAAAATCTACAACACAGTGTCATGGCCCTTCCTCTGGAGATAGCCTAAGACCCTGTCCCTCCTCCTGGAGCTCCCAGAGGAATCAAGTGGATATTAAACTTCACAGTCAAAACCCAGAGGCGCCTGGCAGGTTCCAGAAGGGGCAGTGCGGGGGGTGAGGAGCATCCTCCCTGCCTCAGTCCTCAAAGAGCTCACACAGCCAGTGTGCCTCTTTACCAGGAGCACAGCAAGTGCGCCCCAAGGAATGCCCTTTCGCCAGTGTGCCCCTTCACACTCCCGAGCAGGCTGAGGAGCGTCAACGGAGGCCTCAGCCAATTCTGCCTTTTTGGCTTTGGAACTTCTTAACGTTTTGACTTTTTTCAATCACAGTTTCATATTCAAGTTGAGGTAATCACAGTTTTCCCTCTAACAGCAGAGGAATTGGGGTAGTGGGGCAAGTTGGTGAGAGAGCATTTCTGTGGACAACGGTCAGAAACCAAGACCACCACGTAGTGCAGCCCCACGCAGTGGGAAGACCCGCTTCTATGTGCGGGCTCTGAACCCTTTTTAAAAACTCTTTTGTGCAGCCACCAGGAAATGGCTCGAGCTCCTCAATCTAGAGCTTTCATTTAAAAGTTCACAGCAACCCACCTGGAGTAAATGGCCTATGGTTCCCCTACCCCACCCACCCACCCCACTTCTCCCTTCTCTAAGGCTGCTCAAGGTTGAGTTTTTAAAAAGAGCTCAGTAGAGCTAAAAGAAGCTACAGTAACTCATTGCTTATTTCATCAATTGCACTTAAGATCTATGTTATTGATTCTGAAGCAGAGGCAGGCCCATTGTGGACCCCAGCCTCTGGCCCACCAGAAGTGAGGTGCTCCCAGACTTGGGCTCCACACCAGGGCCCTTGTCACCACCAGCTTTGGGAGTTGGGACTGGAGCACATGGGCCTTTTCAGAAGGCTTTCTTCATGCAAGATTTCTTATTTAGTGGTATTTTGAGTTTTGTTCATTTGGCTTCAAATACAGATTTTTTTCTAATACAAGTACATTTTGCTGACAAGCCCTTAACACCTGCTTTGCTACTTGCATGGAGGCCTCTGAGTGACCAGGCACACAGATCACATGTGCTCCATCCTTTCTCAGTCTCTCCTCTGTGCCAGGGGCTGTTCTCAAAAATCCCTCTACATTACTGGAAACTTTGCTGGTTTGTCTATGTGCTTCTTCCTAAGGCATGCAAAAAAAAATATGTGAAATTCAGAAAGCATTTACAATCTAGGCAGCTGAGGCGCTGAAGTCCTAACCGACATCACCCAAATATCAGTGTCTGTGACCTCCCCCCACCCCAAACTAATTCTGGAAGTCAGGCACCGGATCCATTTGTAATTCCCCTCTGCTTTACGGTCCAGCTGCAAACAAAGCCCCTGGAAGGAATTCTAAATTGGATATTGGAATTCTTTGAAATTCCCGGTCTACAGGAGCCAACAACAATGCTTGGGGACGTAAGTGTCCTGAAGTTTGTGGCTGCAAACCAAGCCTTCCCTGCTAAGGCTCAAGGGAGGGCTGGGTGCTGG